AAGCAATAGCAATCATCATCTGAGATCACAGACCTATTGAAGATGCTTTTGTCAAAACACTCTTAGATTTTTTTTCTCATGTTTGTGCATCTGTTGTTTTACATCTGAATGTTATTGTTATATCTTCTGATATTTACCTATGTACTCTTGCTCTGTTATGTTAAATAAATCAGTTTGTTATTCTCCATTGAATTATCTGTTTCATGTTCCTTTTATTTGTCTTTATTAAAAGCTTTTACTTTTTGCTTATGACAAAAAAGGGGGAGAAAATGAAGATCTGAACTATTTAATATAATTTCACTAGAATGAATCTTCAGACATATCTATTCTGTCTAATATCTAAATTGACTATTTCAGAACTTTTGATAAGAACACTCTATAAAAGAATCTCTGAGTTTCTCAGATCATTTATCTTTTATCAAACTCTGAATCTCATATCTGCAAGATAGTCTGACCCTTAATTATTACAAAGACAAACAAGATCTGACTCTGAAGATTACTCAAGATAAAAAGGGAAGTTTATATTCCTTTTTCATATTCAACTCAGGGGGAGATTCATCATCTCAGGGGGAGTTATAATTCTTTATGTTCAATTAAATAAAATTTCTGATACTTTTTGTCATCATCAAAAAGGGGGAGATTGTTAGAACACAGATTGGTTCTTAATAATTACTCTTTGTTTTGATGATAACTGTTAGGAAATTTATATTTAAGAATTATATACTCTAAAATTTGTTTGAGAGTTTTACTGCAGATTGAAATTATATCAACTCTCTAGAAGCAAATCTGCCTTGAATACAAGAAGTTATTCTGACTCTGAAGCGTCAGATGCACCTTACAGAAGAATCTGTTTGCTCCTTACAGAAGATCCTGAGCGTAGTCTCCAGAAGGATCTTAAGCAAGAAGCTCCAGAACATTCTGAGTCAGAAGCATCTGAAGATAGTCAGAAGCATCTGAAGATAATCAGAAGCATCTGAAGCTGAAGCATCAGAAGTATAGAAGAATATTGATTGAAGAGTTTCTCAAAGCATTAGTCTACATAAGTTTCTGAAAGTACCTACGCTTCCAAGTACTGAAGTTCTGCGTCAAAATGCTCTGATGATCAACACGCTAGAAGCACACACGCTGCAGAAGACTCTGATACAGCATAGTTCTGAATCTCATTAGAAGACTCTGATCCATTCAGACTCTGAAGAACTTGCTGAAACTGAAGAAGTATTTTTTCAAGAATATATCTGTTGGAGCTATTCAACGTCTCTTTCCTTATTTGTGCTAGACACACTTACACAGACAAAAAGGATTTTTCTGTGCCATCTATTTCAAGGAAAGGTCAGTTCATGTGAAGACAAAAAGGCTCAGACCTTTTGAGACTCTCTTTTCAACGTTCAGCTTGCATGATTCAGCTGCCTATAAAAGGAGATCTTCACTTCATTCTTCAGTTACACACTTGCTGAAAAGAAATCATAATATTCTAAAAGCTCTCATTCTTATTCTTCATAGAATTTCATTGTACTTAAACTTAAGAGAAAAATCACTGTTGTGATAAAAGCTTTATAGAAGCATTAAAAACTCTCGTATTTAATTTACATTTGATTGTAAAGGATATTCCTTAAGAGGATTCAGTTAGAATCAGTAGCTCTTGAGAAGACTAAGAACTGTTGTTCTTAGGTGATACTAATGTAATCAGTTTGATTTAATAGTGGATTAAGTCCTTGTTGAGAAAGGCAAATCACTCTGGAAGGGTGGACTGGAGTAGTTGTTAAACGAACCAGGATAAAAATAATTGTGTGATTATTTTCAAGTCTTAATTTTCCATACTTATTCAACCCCCCTTCTAAGTATTATCTCACCTTCAGAGAGAACTTGGGAAGTATTTTATTTTAAGGCTCTCATCATTCGCTATCTCTCCAGCCTCGATTAGATAACGAGCCACGTGTTCGACAGTGGACTCCGTCGTATCTCCTGAGAACTTAGTAAACTTAGGCACTTTCGTTCTAGGAGGCAATTCTGCCTGCGGGATATAATCTACTATTGGGGAGGTGTAGTTTGGCCGGACGAAACCAGTGTTCAACCCGTTTCGAACCATAATTCTCTCAACCATGGCTGCTAAATTATTGTCGACAGCCACATTATTCGTCGAACCTGTTGGACGGCATTATCTACGTCCTGGTTTCAATTTACCATAATTACCTCTGGGTCTCTCTCCCCTGGACCCCGAACCTGCTCTCTTAATGTTTCGACCCTAGGTGATTCGTCTATGGGATGACCTATCCTTTCCTGGATTTCCACTGCTGGCTGATGTCCCAAAGCCTGTCGTGGAATGTTTGCTACCGGTGCTTGATTCCTGGCTAGGGGAGGTACCCCCATGAATTCAGCCAATCGCGTCAACTGTATTGCTAGTTGTTGATTAGTGTGGTTTGTATTTTGGATCAATGGTTGAAAGATTTCCCCCATGGTTTGGGACAACGTCTGAACCATTTGCAAATTGCTTTCATCCATTTACTGTCTTAAGCATGCGACAGAGGTGTTGGTCAAGTTAGGACCTTGTGTCGAATATCCTAGGCTTGAGCTTTGGGGATTTCAACCAACATTCGCGCCAGGCCCAGATCCTTGTAATGGCGAAGCCATCGCATGATCTGAGAATATGGGGGGCGCATTTTGGAGCCCTTGCATTACAGTTGTGGGCATCCGATATGGGGGATTTCTTGGTGATTGTGAAAACCCGGGGGGAGCAAACAGTCTGGAATTCGAACTTCCCCCTAACAGTATTGGAGGATTCGACGTTGGAGGCCCAATATATTCTAACACTGGTTGACTATAAGGTCTTATCACAGTCGACCCAGCCCCAAGTACTGAGGGTGTTGGTTCTGGCCCCATAGGATGCGACGTTTGTTCACCTGTTGACGGTATCGAAGGCGGGATTGCGCCGTTCACTGTTCTTTCATTAGAACCGTCTCCTTGGAAGTTACGATTATTTGGCTTACTTGCATCTGTCGCTATATTCCTAATGTTTCGCCTTGTCAGTCTTTCTTCATTTACAACAGTAATTCTACCACTTCTTAGTAACATAAAACACACTTTTCACGAACAGACCAATAAGACTATAATCTTTACAAGTCTTGACTATACGACAAAATTTCTTCTTGGCACTGTCCCACTAGGCGTGCCATTTTGTTTCCCTTGAAAATCGGAAAACAACCGCTGATCTTTCAAATCTAACTTTGGTGACTCACAGGATCGATCAGATTGATCCTAGGACATGTGCTAAAAGGTTTTCCTTGAACATTTATCTAAGTTTTACGCTTTTGACAATATTTGGGAGAAGGTTCTTAAAGGTTATCTATTTGACTCTAGGATAAAAACAAATAAAGTTCTAACAAAGAAAATATACAAGTTTTAAAAGAAAGAAGTTGAGGAGGAGGACGAAATAAAAGAGGGAATGGAAAGGGAAGAAGGTTTGCAAGAAAGATAAAGAAGACTTTGTAAAATTTAAACAAGTAAAATAGACTTCATTAAAAATAAAAGGTGGTGTGTTTTCATTACGTACATTCTCTTCAATACTCTCTTTCTCTGCACTCGGATACTTGGAGTAAGTCTAAGAGTGACTTGTACAATAATAAAATTTTCCACATATGTCTTAACACTTCCTATTTATAATAGCAAAAAATAACTACTAATAACTTCCCACATTACCATCTTTCACCACTTGTCACGATGCATGGATCCATTGTTCATAAGGTACCATGTGTCCTCTTAGTCATCTGGCGAACAAAATTGTTCCCTCCAAGTTATTTGAATTTCAAATCTTTAGAAAAACCACCAAACAGTAACACGGTCGAAGCCTTTGTTGTTTCAAGTCTGGTGGGTGCTTCGGCTACTCCTCCTTAGCTATCTTACATCCTTCGACCAACTCTCGCCTCCAACCAGCTTTCAGTGTTTTTCCTTAGATCTCTTCATTTTGCGAGAGGCGTCGAAATTAGGAGCTAACAGATAGATGAATGAATTTTATGAGATATTATATTATATGTGATGTTTCATTCGATTTATGTTTTGAAAAAATGCATGGTTTTACATCACGTTATAATTTTTTTTAAATAGAAAAAAAATCAAAACATTATTTTATGCACAATTAATAAATCTAATTCAATCCAACTCATAAATGATCAATTTGTCTAGTTCAACTTTGACAATAAAATTATATATTCGACTATAAACCCAACCATTAAAATATAAATAGATTAGATAACAAATTATACCAAATTCGACTCAACCCAACTTGTAAGCAACCCACTTGCATACCCCATCTTCTACATCTACCCGTGACGGAACATTCTTAGCCAAATATTGGTTAACAAATGAGACCAAACACTGGAATAAAAGACTTTTAAGATCACATTCTTAGCAAAATAATTTATGAGCAAAAACTCCACCAAACTAGAAAGAAACCTATGAGAAAATCACTATTGGAAAATCAAATCATTTATTTGACTTAAACACTAAGAATCTGATCTTATGCACGATATAATTTTACTTTTACATTTGAAACCTAAAATCACGGCAAGAATTTAATCAAACCACTAATGGTAGTAAACATTTTATTTATCCTTTTGCACTCTAAAAGCAAAGAAAAGTAGATAAGAGTAAGACAAGCAAACATCCCAAACTGTACAAACATAGAAGAAGAAAAAAATATGGAAAGAAGTTGGAAATGAAATCCAAAGGGAAACAAAACAAAACAAGTAAAATCTATGAGATTTTCCTTTTCATAGTTGCTAATTAACATGCCAATTCAACATGAACAAATTAAAAACTATAAATTAATTATTAATTATCATCATCAATTAGAGGCATTGTTCTGAGTTTTAACTTAGCTCTGACCATGCACCAATCTTAAATCTCTTGAGAGAGGACTTTGTCACCTATTGTAGTCTTTTCTGACTTGAGAGATTAGTGTATGTCGTTGGTTGCGCGCAAATGATACATAGTTTTTAACGAAAAAATCAATGAGAGACATTAGAAATTGTGGATCCTCTCTTGATATTATCCATGTTGGTAGTTTCATAGACTGGTAAACCACTTGAATTGTGACACAAATCATAGTTTTGCAATTCAAACAGATCAGAACTTGAATCACTTTCTGCACCATCATCAACCTCATTGAATTTCCTTATTTCTCTTTTGTCCACCAACTGTTTGTAGTTATCACCCAACAAACTTGAGTTTCTCCTTTTCTTATCATCCCAACCCAACTCATTTTGCAAAGTGGTTGATGATGGTTTTACATGAACATTCAAGTTTGTTTTCACCGCATGGTTTAGTTCAGATAACGTTTTGAATTCCCTGCATCCCTTTGTTGGAGTGTTTACATAAGGAGGAGTTCGAAAACCAGAACTCAAAGAAGAGTAAACGGATTTTGAATCCGCGGTACTCGAGCTTCTGAAATGACTAATGCTGCATCTTTGCATTCTTCTTCCGGCGCCAGGACTCTCGTCTTCGTCTTTCATGGATTGTGAACTTGATTTCGACTTCTTCTTCTTTGATGTCGATTGATTGAAGAGAGAATTCAAGAAGCTCGCGAGTCTACCGCCGGGTGAGCTAGGTTGTTTGTTGTGTTTCTTGTCTTTTATTTGTTTCTGATCGACTCCGTTAAATTGTTGCGGAAGTAAGGTTCTCATTGGCATGTCTAAGCTTATTCTTCCTCTGTGGCCATTCCTTTCTTCTCTTATCACTTTCTGTGTGCAAGTAGAGTTATTAGTGTATCCAATAACTTCATTGTACCCTGAAAAGTATCTTGATGCTTCGAACACGTCGAGCTCACCGGAATCGTTTCTTCTGTGGAATGATTTCTTGTTGTGATTCATTTCTTGGTCTATAATAAGTCCTGCTAGGGACATGGTGTAATAATCCTTGATGTTTGAAAAAGTTTTGAATTTTGAATCAAGTTATCCAAAAGTGTTAACAAGGAAAGGTGAAATATGGTTGGAATATGCAAGTAGAGGATGAGGCTGTTTCAAGAATGGTAAGATGATATCAAAGACTTGGAAATGATGGAGAGTATTGTGGGAGGGTCAGTTTATAATAATCAACGTGAACTCAAGCCATGATTTTATATGATGAAGAGGAGTTTATGTGTGGGACCAACATAATTTGAGTATGTGCATTAAGTATACACATTTCTTATCAAATACTAGTTTGGTATTTGACAAGACAGTGACAAATATAATTATATTTAATCATTTTTAATTTAAATGATAATAATGAATTATAAAACATTCACATTGAGACCATAAAATATTGATACAAACACCAATACAAACATTTTTTTACATATTCGACTAAAAATATAGATATTAAAAAATTATTAATGTCTATATATTGTGTCTAACCGGGTCAAGTATCACTATTTTCGAATATCTGTCAATGACAATAAGACACCATACAACACTAAAACATATAGTGACACAAATACCTATCACACATTTGACTAATAATATAGATAATTAATGTTTAAATGTTATGTCCAAAACAATGTCACTATTTTTAAATATATACCAAAGAAACTAAATAAAATATAACACTATCAAATACACTGACACAATCACCTATCACGCATTTGACTAATAATATAGACAATGAATGTTTACATGTCATGTTGAGAACATAATTAAGTGTCAGTATTTTTGAATATGTGTCACATACACTAAAACAAAATAAAACACTGAAACAAACACCGACATAAATACCTATCATATATTCGACTAAAGTTATAAATATTAAAGAACTATTAAGCTACGTGTGTCCAGTGTCCCTATTTTTGTGGGAGAAGAAAGTGTGTGGTACATATAAGTGGGAAAGAGAACTTTAATCCTTCTCACACTGTTAAAACCAGAAGTATGTGTTAGAGATTGTGGGGAGCAAAGAGATATGTTTCATTGGATTCTATACGTTTCAATTGGTTTGAGATGGAACTATGTTGAGTGGTTGTTTGCTATGGATATATCCATCCAAAGGTCATATCATGGTAATGTCCATGATGATGAGCATGCATATATGTATGTACATACATAATACAATCTAACCAACCTCTCTATATTTATATCATCATAGAGATGAACACTAATTATTACAATGATCCCACCATAATTTTGAGAGCTTCCAAATCACTCTATAACAAATTTAAAGTTATTGCTTGAAGGGTAAAATTTCTTTTGACTAGTATTGATTTACTATGGCCCATTAATATCTCAATGCTTCCTCTTTAACTTCATTTCATAACAAAGGACTTTTAATTTTCATCATAAGTGGTTAATATTTCAATTTCCAACCACTGGCAGGTTCAAATAGAGAGCTATAATTATAGTAGAAATATAGATATACAAGATAGAAAATGTCTTGAGTCTTGTCATGTAAATCATTAAAATTTCAAAATTTTCCTAAGTATCATCATATGGAAGGTAATATGTCATGAAGCCTAAGAAAGGAACAAAGGATAATGTTGGGGTAGCCTTTTCCAGTGGAAAGAACTTTAAGAACTACACATGGATGCTTAGCAGTATAATCAGCTTTAATCAACATCGTATAATCAGCTTTAATTTACTTTTTGACTTATTGTAGTGTGTAATTTTGTTTTGGCCCTACAATAACTTTTTAGGGAACTTAATTACTCAACTTTCAACTGTTACGGTTAAGTTTCTTTATCACTCTTCAATTATTTTTAAACTCTAGAATTTTTAAAATTTGTTCAAAGTTTTATAAATTAAATCAATTAAATTATTTTCAACAATATTCTAATCAATGCTCACCGTAAATCAGCTCGGGATTAAAAACAAGTATCTCAATTAATAAAAATCGATATTATTAAGTTGAACGCGAACATTAAAATTCAAACTCTAAATCTAATTATCACTTTTCGTTTGAAGATAAAAAACTTAACACAATCAAAAAGTATTTAAGTTTTATTATATCTTCATTAATTTTCAAATTCTACATTTAACAAATGATTTAATATCTTAAATTTATTGAACTCATTCCAAATTAAATATAATCAACGAAAAACTTTTTTAATAAAAAAAATTATTAAATAAAAAAAAAACACAAAAACAATCAAACATAAAATTTAACTTATTAAATAATTAACAAAAATGATAGTTGAGCATGTCTAATATATCTTTTTAAAAAATTTCAAAAACAAAATAAGAAGTGAACTTTACCAAGTGTCATAATAAAAAAGGAATGCTTGCTATTTAAGGTGGATTTTGACATATAACAAAATGTTTTGCCCAACTAACATTGTCATATGTCTGGGCAAAATCTACCTTAATGTTGAAGAATTACCTTTTCCTTCAAAAAATTTAACGTGAAGTATGCATCCATGAACTGAACTATTAACTTCGGTTTAAATTCTTAGTCCTCGGACTAGGGAACTTGTTAATCGGCTCTGCTTCATCTTGTTCTAAATATCCATAGATTTAGTTGATAGAGATAGTGTTTTTGTTGATAGAGGTAGCAACTTCAATGGGAGAACACTCTAATGAGTGGCATTATGTAAGGATGAGGGGTTGGAAAACAACAGGTTTTCATAAGCAAAGACTAGATTTAAGCTTCAATATGAGGAGGACTGGTAAGGTGTAGGACATAAGCACCAGTTTCTTCTTTACTATGATCCCAGAGTCTCATGGAGCTAAAGAGATGCACGACATTTTCAAGAAGTATGAGGACATTGATGAAGTGGTGATTCCATCAAGGCGAGACAAGAATGGCAAGAGATATGATTTTGTTAGGTTTTTCAAAGTTTCTGATGAGAGAACTTTGGTTGTGATGTTTGACAATGTATTTGTCAACAACCTGAAATTGTTTGTTAATATTTCAAGATTTTAAAGAAATAAGCAGGCCCTCAAGAAAGATGAAAACTCGGGTAAGGAAAACAACTATAGAAACACTTTCAACCATAACATCCATGCCAAGAAATTTGACGAAAGTCTCAAAACATATGCTGAGGTAGTGAACAATGGAAACTTGGACAAAGATAGGATAGGTAAGTGGAAACATAGGCATTACACAAACGAGGAAAAATCGATGTTTGCTCACTTAAAATTTAATACTAAGCTTGAGGACAACACTAGATTTTAGAAAGCCTATGTTGGGGTGGTGGCAAATCCGGGAATGACTTACAACATCTAGGAAACCTTCCATTTGGAAGGCTATTTCTTGATCAAGATCACTCTCGTGGGTGCAAATCTGTGCTTAATTGAGGAAATGGAAGAAAGGGAATTATAAGCCTTGGCAGAAGATGCTAGTGAATGGTTAGCTCAGTGGTTCACTGAAGTAAGGCCATGGTCATCAGAAGACATTGATAATGAAAGATTAATATGGATATCATGTTTTGGTATTCCATGTCATGCATGGTGTCCCGAGTTTTTTGAATTCCTCACGTGTTATGTGGGAAAGTACATTTATGCAGATGATAAAATAAGATTGCACAAGAACTTTGACGTGGCAAGAAACCTTGTCAGAACAAAGTATTCTATGATCCTCAATCAAGCTGTCAATGTGGACATTGATGATCATGTGTATCGTGTAAAAATGGTGGAAGGATTGCATGGTCCAAAGAGAATCGTTACACCTAAGCATCATAAACCATCTAAGGAGTCTGACAACTCTTCATCTTATGAAGGCAATAATGTTTGTGGGATGGATGGAGAGGAGAAAGATGATGATAACTCTGTCATAGAGGTATCTTCTTCCAAGAAAAAGTTGGTGTTGGATAAGACGAATGAGGTGGCTTCAGAGTAGAATATCCAACAACTCAACAAAAAGAGTACAATAAATGTAATAAGTTTCCCTAATGAAGCCCCTGAAGTCTGCAGCGCCGCGGAACTTAGGGAAAATGTTGTAGAGAGTGGGACTCTTGAAACAACAAATCAGAGGAAAAGGAAGGGAAGGCAAAATTCAACTTTGGTCTATGGGAAAATGGCCAAACAATGCCTTTTGGCCAACAGATCTTGCTAGACACCTATACCTCGTGGAAACAAAAAGAAAACGACAATCTCAAAGAAAGGTGAGGTTGTTATGGTTGAATCATCTGATCCTATGTCAGCAAGGATGAATGGGCCCATATCAAAAGAGCCAGAAGTTGTTAGGCCCATTAAAGTTAAGAAGAAAAAACTTATGGTGGATGTATTGAGCAAAGTTGGGGGACCCGTTTTTAATAATTTTGAGCAACTGAAATATTTCATTACACCTTCTACCATCATCTCCTCTCAGCTTGCTATTTCTTTGAATGAATCTACAAATTTCTCAAGAGGTTCAGTGTTGTGTTGTGACTCTATATCCACTGGAGGCATTAAATAAGGTAACTTTAGAGCACTTAAAAACTTGGACTATATGTTCGCACGCAGTTTTCGCGCAAACAACCTCTGACCTCCTAACACAAGTTTACTTGCGGGACCGGTCAAACGAGTCCCAGAACACTGGTTTGTAATGTATGGGAAAGTGGTGGAATGGTGTTGTTTGGAATAAGCTGAAGATCACTTCTAGAAAATACTGTAAAATTAAATAAAGATGAATGCGTAAATAAAAAAATCCAAAAACAACAAGACAAGACACTTTAAAGTTAATGATATAAATTTCTTATTAAGAAGAAATATGGACGCGATCATACATTTTGCAGGAATGAAAAACTCTATTCTCTTAACACTTGGGACTCAGAGTGTTTTTCCCCCTTAAATATGTTACAAAAATGCGTCCCCAAAATGAAACTGGACATTGCCTTAAATAGGGAAATAAAATAACTACCATGTTGAAGTTGGTGGCGCCACGTGTCCGTCCATCACTTTTGTAACCTCCCACGTTTTCATTTTTCAAATATGTTTCCCGCTCAAATGTTTTTCCTTCT